GCACCCCCGTGCTCACCCTGCAAGAAACTGGGGGTGTTCACGGGAGACCCTGTCCCCCGAGGCCTGACTCAGGCCACCTCCTTACTCTGCTCATCTCTCCCTGCCGCTCACTCCACCGAGGCCTTCCTAAAACCCGCCTGCCCACCTCACGGGGGCATCTCGCATCGCTCAGCTCCTCCACTGGTATTCAGGGCCTTCCATGCTTTGCCCCGGGCCACATCTCCCCACTTTTGACATTCCCAGCTCCACACCTCACTCTTCCCACCCATCTGAGCCCCTTGACACACCTGTTGTGCTCAGACACCACCTCCTTCAGGAAGTCCCCTCTGTGCCCCTACTCCATGTTTGATGCCTCCCCCAGCCCTAACCCTAATCCTAATTTTAACCCCAACCCTAAACCTGTCTTGTTGCCCCCATCACAGGTCCCCTCCCCCTGTGCTGTACTTCCTGCGCCCAGTTTTATCTGCACCCCAGCTGTGGCCAGCAGAGGACCCCATGTGGAGGAGGTGCCCAATAGATGTCTGATGACCTGAGCCCACTCAGTTTCCCACCCTTCCTGCCCATCCCCCCACCCTTAGCCCCCATGTCTATCCCTTCTACCCTAGGAAATCCCACTGCCCGGGTCTCATGGAGTTCGGGTTTAGACAAGGACAGGGCCCCATGCACGGGGCTGAGAAAGCAAAGCTGAGCCTGGAGTTCTCATGAATTACTCTGGGGGCTCTGGGCCTCCTCCACACGGAGCAGGGAGGGGTCTGGAGGTGGGGAGGGAGAGGCCCTGATGACTAATGGGACGTTCTTCTCTGTCCCTTAGAAGGAGAAGTCAAGGAGAAGAATGGTTGTCAAGGGCAACACATTCTTTCCCGTGGCTGTGGATAACTCTGGCCTGCGTCACCCACCCACAGGGAGTGGGGTTTCGGGGAGCTGGGACTGGAGTGTCTGGGCCCAAGGAGCCTTGATATCTTCCCTCATTTTACAGAGGGAAAGCTGAGGCTGGGGAGGTGGGCAGGGCTCATAGCAAGTGAGGTAATGAGGTGTAAAGGGGAACCCCGGGCTCCTGTTTCAGTCCTGAGGCCGATTCCAGGGGCCAGGGGCATCGAGGCTGTAGCCTGTGTGAGATAGCAGAGGTGGGCGAGGATGGCTGCAGTGGCTTCTGACATCTCTAGCTGCAGGGGAGAGAGAGAGCAGCCCAAAAAGCTGGGCCAAGGGTCCGGTGTGAGCAGGGTCAGGGCCAGGGTCAGAGAGCAGGCAGGCTCCAGCCTACACTCGTCCAGGTCCATTCTGAAGACCTTAACCTGCCAAGGACCTTTCTTACCTCCGAGCCTCTGTACAAGCTGTTCCTGCTGCCTGCAAAGCCCTGGCCCTCTGCTTGCCTGTGGGCTCTCAGTCAAACATCTCACCGCTGACCACCTGCTCTGTGCATGCCACCCTCGTTACCATTCATGCCCATGACACCACAATGGCGGGTGGATTGCTCTGATTGGGCTGCCACAGAAAAATGCTGCAGACCGGGCGGCTTATACCACAGACATTTATCTCTCATAGTTCTGGAGGCTGGAAGTCCAAGTTCAAGGTGTCAGCAGGGTTGGTTTCTCCTGAGGCCTCTTTCCTTGGCTTGTAGACAGCTATCTTCTTGCCTGCTCTTCACATGGCCTCTGTGCTTGGCCCCTTGTGTCTCTGTGTCCCAGTCCCTTCTTATAAGAGACTAGAGGCCCAATGCACGAAGATGTGTGAAAGAATAGGGCTTCCTTCCCCTGGCTGCTGGCTCCACCTTCGCTCTGGCCAGAGCCGCCTTTCTGCCTTCCCACACTGCCCAGGAGCCTGGAGCAGCTGGAGTGGTACCAAACGCCTGCATCCCGCTCCACCCCTGGCCACTTGGTGCCTGCATATACAAATTAACCAGCCATATTTGTTGAGCTAATTTGCATACTCACTCCTGATTGGCTGGTGGGTGTCATGAAGGTATGGTCAATAAACATGTTACTCTTTTATTAGGTAGATTGGGTTATTGTATTAGGGCCCGCCCTAAAGGTCTAAATTTACTTACTTACCTCTTTAAAGGCCCTATCTTAAACAGTCACATTCTGAGAGAAAATCATGGCTTCAGCATATGAATTTTGAGGAACACGATTTGGTCTATAACAGTGGGTGTACCTTCCTAGTGATTGGGGCACTTTCTGAGAACGAGGACTGGACCTGAGCCTCTGCATGGCCTGTGGGGTCTCTGGGCCAGGTCTCTGGGTCTGTTGTCCTGCCTAGAATGGGTGTCCAGCAACTGCCTCCTCCCCCTGACTACACCTCATTCTTCTCCTTCCCCTCACCTCCAGGCCGGGGAGGGGTGGACAGGCTGAAGAGTGCGCAGTGAGGTGTAGCTGTGTCCCTTTGCTCCTGTGTCATGCAGGTCCCTCCTGAGAAGGTGGAGCCTGCCCTCCACCACAGGCTTGGCATGGACAGGAGGGGCTCCAAGTCCCTGCCCTCCTGAAGTTCACAGTTTACAGGGAAGATGGAAAAGCTCCCTCTTTTAGACGTCTGATTCGGCACAGGTGGAAAACGTACTGAGAAGGAAAGGAACAGTGTTGGAGAGCTGAGGGGTCAGGAAGGGCGTCCCTGAAGAAGGGATTGGGCCAGAGGAAAGGGAGTGACGTGGAGGAGTGTTCTACGTGGTGAGAAAAGCACGTGCAAAGGCCCTGTGGCCTGGTGGCTGGACTCTAGGGGATAAGGGATGGGTCATGGGCCCCCACGACTGAACTGTTGAATCCAGAGACTGTGCTTACAGTAGGAGGTCTCTGAGAATTGTGAGCAATGGTGTGACACCTTCAGGTTTATCATCTGGTCCCTCAGGATGCTGGGAGGAGGACGGAAGTGGGGAGCAGCAACACTGGTGTTGGGAGACCAGCAAAGAGACAGGCTGACATCCCAGCAAGAGACAGGCTGCCCCTGCGTTTCCACCTGCTGTCATTCCGATTCCTTTGATTTCAGGCCTGATGAGTCACCTGTGAGTCATCACACCCACATTGATCGCTGTGTTTTCCTTTTTAACAATGAGCTTGTTTTTAACCACTGAGCCATTATGTGACGGGCCAATGGATTTCCCCAAATACAGCCCTGGAGAAAACCTTCAATGCCATGTAACAAAAGCGTCTCCAAACTCCATTTAACAAAAGATTGTGCACAGCACGGCTGTCACGGTGTACGCTGCTCAGGGCTGTCATGAGCTGGCCCAGGAGAGGCTGGGTTTGGGATGACCATCTCGAGCGTGACTCAGGGCAGAGTGGATGGCCCAGGGCTCAGCGTGACAGTGACAGTGTGGCCAGTGCGACCCACCCCTCGCTGTGCACAGCCCTGGGGCAGAACCCCCACATTATGCGGGCTCACAGGGTGGCCTCCTGCTGACCAGGGTAGGCTTCCATCTCTGTAACATGTTAACCATTTGTTGACGTGCTGTAGACTCGCCCACCTGGCCCCAGGACTCCCTTTGCTAAGGATCTGCTGAGGGGAGTTAGGTGGTACTACCACATACAGGGCTTCCGTTTTGTGTGCACACCCATCCTCATGGCAGAAACCAGGCACAGCCTTCTCCTCCTGCCTCATCTCCCCCACCTAAGTCCCCAGTTCCTCCCCCAACTCCTGAACATTCACCTCTTTCTCTCCAACCCCCTTTGTCTGCCCTGGTTCAGGGCCCCAGGACCTGCTGTCTGTCCCCCCTAACCCCCAACTCCCTGCCCATCCCCAGCACTATCTATACCACCTAAGGGCAACATGGTCTCCTTTCTCCTTTCCTGTCTACTTCACTAACTTACACTTACCTCTCAAGACTCAGCTCAAGGACACATGCCCAGATTGTGGCTCGATTCCCAGTGCGGGGTGTGCAGGAGGCAGCCGATCAGGGATTCTCTCTCATCATTGATGTTTCTATCTTTCTATCCCCTCCCTTCCTCTCTGAAGTCAATAAAAAATAAATTTAAAAAAGTCTCAGCTCAGAAATCACCACTAGGAAGCCCCATGACCCTTGGGTGCGGTCAACTGCCTCACCTGGGCTCTCGCCTCATCAGTCTTCACCCGAGTGTTGCAATGTTTGTTTGGAGCGCATCTCTCTGTTCAAGCCCCGGGCAGCCAGACGGGGTGAGAGCAGCTCCTCGGGGGGCTGGGTAGGGCTGCTCAGGAAGGAGGGCAGTCCTAGGCGGCTCAGCATGTCACTGGCTGCCAGGGGTCAGCGCAGACGCTGGCGTGGAAATGAGCCACAGAGACCCTGGGGCATGGAAGAGCCTGGGGTACGTCCTGCTCCCTCCTGCCCGGAGGGTTTGCTCATGGTTTCACAGCGAACACCAGCAGGCCCTGCCCCTTCCCACCACACCCTCCTGGCAGGCCACGCTGGGCATCTGGGGCCTCGAGGGCCCCCTCGTCTGGAGTTGGAACCAGGTCTGGACAGGACAGTGTGAGAGACTCTGCCAGGGGCCGCCGGTGAGGGTGAGATGGGGGCATTTTGAACCCTCTTCCAATTCCAGGTCAGGAGGGACCTGGGCTTCAAAGTAGTAGGATTTCAAAGGTGGCGGCCCAAAGGGGCTGGCTCCCATGAGCAGATGCTACCCAGGACACCAGGGCCTGAGCTCCTGGCTGCATCGGACTGCTCTGTCTGTGCCTGGAAGGGGATAATGTGCCTGGTGGGGTGCAGGCAGGAGAGGGGAAAGACCACCCGGAGCCAGGAGTGCATGGGTTTGGAAAGTGTCTGCCCTTTCCAAAGTGCTCTCTGAAGTGTCTGCCAGGGAGGGAGCACTATTAAATCCACAGAAATGGCTTAGTAGCTGGTTCCTGGCCCTGCAACACATGGGTTTTCCTAGGGCCTGTTAGGAGATGGGAGCACCCCAAGGAACAGCTAGGTCTAGCAATCATGGGGACAGGCTCAGGGCAGCCCTGGGCTGGTGGCGGTGGGGCTGGACAGAGCATGGCCCGCTGGACCCCATGCGTATATGCTCCTTTTTTAAATCAGCACAGCACCATGCAGATGGGAAAGCCAGACAGCGTTTATTCACCTCGAAAGAGAGGGCGCCTGTGCCCTCAGGCCCCACAGAGCGCCATAGGCAGTCTAGTGTGGCCAGGGTATATGGGGCCAGGTGGCCGTGGATAGAGCACAACAGGCAAGTCACTGAGCCTCCGTTTCTGCGTCTAGAAAACGGTGGGGGCTGTGGTTCGGAAAGCACGCAGTGGGCCCTCAAGTGGGAGGTGGCTGCTCATCCCTCTGGCTTGGTCAAGATGGGGCCTGGAGCCCTGACCACCAGAGAGACCCTACTGAGCCACCAGGCGGGAGCCCTCCGCCCAGTCCGCCCAGTCCGTGAAGAGCAGCGAGCCTGCGGGGCTGTGCGGCAACAGCTGCGGTGCACTGGCGCCCTCGTGTGGCCATGGCGGGTACCACAAAGTTTGTGGGCCAATGGAGGCAGGGGAATAAAGCCTGTCCTCCAGTGAGGGCTGGTCATGGTACCCAAAGACCCATTAGAGTAGCTGTCTAGGGGAGTGTGAGCCCCAGGGTATGTGACAGGTTACATCTGGGCATGTGGTCATCTGAGGCCCAGAGCAATGAGTGAGCTCCCCAAGACGTGCCTGAGGCCCCCTGTCTAACACTGTGCACGGCATGCAGCAGGCACTCAATGCACTTTTGTGGAATGAAAGTGAGTAGATCTGTCTGTGTGTGCAAGGGGGTTGGAAGCGGCGGCCCTAATCAGTGGCCAGCTGGTCATTCATGCATCTACGCTCCATCTGACCTTCTAGCCACCCTCAGGAAGGGCCTGTGCCCAGGGACCACGAAGGGGCCTTTGGAGACTTCACTGCAGCCCCAGACACTGGCAGGTGGGACGGAGGGGCCGGGAGGCGCAGGCCTCACAGCCTCAGTGATGGGCCCAGTTCTGCTCCCTGCACAGGGCAGAGCACGGCCTGCTCCTGGGGCCTGGCAGTTCCCGGTCAGGGTGGCCTTTCCACGTTACCTCCAGCCTCAGCTCGCAAGGGGTAGGCATGGAGGTGGGGGCTGGGTACCCAGCCTGACCATAGCCTTTGCCCAAACTCCCCTCATACAACTTCAGTTGCCTGAGGGGGCGGGGGGGGGGGCAGGTGGGGGCAGGGGCAGAATGGGAATGTATTCTGGTGGCTAGGGGTGGGGTTTCAGGGAAGGCGGGGTGGGGGGAGTGTGATGGGGTGGGCCATGTGGGTGAGAAGGAGCACTGTACCCTGTCTCCCCCTCGCCCCCGCTCAGCGCCCCAGCCCCAGGCACGCAGGCCAGGCTAGGGACTGAGGCTGGGGAGGGGGTCCAGGCCAGGCTCGCAGCCCACGGGCAGGGTGGCCACTTCGCTGGGCGGGATGTGGTGGGTCACGTAGCGCCTGCCCCTGAAGGAGCCGATCCGAAGCTGCTCAGGGACCTCCTCGGGCCACCACAGGCTGGAGCTGGACAGGGAGAGGAGGGGCAGCGGTGTCAATGCTGGGCCTCCTCCCCACCCCACGTCTCTCCCCCTGCAGCCTCTGGTCTCCCTGTCCTCTCTTCTATTGTAGAACAAGCCAAAGGCCTGCCTCCTCCAGGTGGCCACCCTGATTTCCCCAGTGTCCATCCACACAGGTGGGTTCACTGGAGAGAAACCGAGGCCCCGGAGGACAAGGGCCAAAGCAAAGGATGTGCTGAGGAATGGGGCAGAGCCGGGAGGCCCCTTCTCTGAACCTGTGGCCAAAAGAGCCGCTGGAGCCCTCTCCGACCTCCCAGGGGAGAGGCTCAGGTGGGAATTCTCTGCTCAGCCCCAGGGACCCGTCCCAGCTCCAAACCACAGGGTCAGGGAGGCTTTCCAGGCGCAGGGGGCGGGGAGAGGGGAGGGGCCCCAGGAGGGCCACCACTCACAAGCGCACAGTGGAGGCCGCCAGGAAGGCCAGGAGCAGGAGGCCGGCCAGAGAGGAGAGGATGGAGGTGATAACGATCATGCCACCACTCCGCCGCCCCGGCCACGTGTCGATGGCGCCTGGAGACTTCCCTGCACACACAGCGATGCTCAGAGGCCGCCCTTGGACCCCGGGGCCGCCGCCCTCACCGTGCTCATACCCAAGGCTGGGCTCTCTCATCCAAACACGTCTGTCCATCTCAGAGGGGCATCTGTGCCCTGTAGCCTGGACCACCCATCGCTCCAGCCTCCGCCCTTGTCTCACCTTCTAGGCTGTTCCCACCAAAGGGCCCACCCTGGCGCACCCAGCAGCGGCAGACCTGAAACCTGACCATGTGGCTGCTTGCTCCCTGGAGCCTGGCATACAAGCGCCCGCCCCCTCCCCGCTCCTGCAGCCCGTCTCCCAGGCATCACCCACACGAACACACAGCAGTGTCCTCGGCCTGGTGCCTCCTGCTGGGGCCCCGGTGAGGAGGCCTCCTGGAACCTGGGCCTGCCGGACTGCCCTCCTTGCTTTGGCCCTTCTCCCCCCGCAATGGGCCCGGCTGGCTCCCCAAAGGAAGGGAAGGCTGCTTCTGCCCATGACTGAGCTGGGCCTGGGCCGCCAAGAGTGGCAAACGTGGGGTTGGGCAGAGCGAGTGCCCAGCCCCAGCACCGGCGTCTGTGTGGAGGCTTTGCCGGATCTGAATGCTGCCAGCCAGCAGGCACCCAGTCCCTCAGCAGCGGGGGGGACAGAGGGTGGAGAGGGCAGCTGAGCACGACCATTTCCCAGAACATAAGGGACAGGCTGGAGCCAGGACACCCCTCCCCAGCGCTACCTTGGTGGAGAGTGATGGGGTCAGACCATCTGGTCTCGGCCTGGGGTGAGCCCCCAGCGTCCATCAGGAGGAACTTCACCCTGGGGAGAGGAGGAGGGGTGAGGCTCAGAGCCTCAGCTGCCCTGGACAGGGCGCCCAGCACAGCCAGACTCCAGGCAGCCCCTCTGGGCCGCTGTGAGCCGTGGCCCTGTGGGCAGTACGAGCTGGGGCTCTCGGCCCCCCCGGGGAGAGCTGCTGGCCCCATGGGATCTCTGAAGCCATGGAAGACTCCCCCCACCCAACAGGGCAAGCACCCCAGATAAAGGCCTAGAGAGGGAGGGATGTGTTGAGGGTGCATGCAGAGTCCAGGATCACAGAGAAGGGCAGGCTGACACAGAGGGCACCGAGGGCCATGCAGAGGGGTCGTGTTTTGAGGGGCCTGGGGAGCTTTGGGAGGTTTCTAAGCATCAAGAGGCTCGGGCAGCCCAGCCAGTGTAGCTCAGTGGTTGAGTGTCGGCCTATGAATCAGAAGGTCATGGTTCGATTCCCAGTCAGGGCACATGTCCAGGTTTCATGTTCGATCCCCAGTAGAGGGTATGAAGGAGGCAGCCTATCAATGATTCTCATCATTAATATTTCCATCCTTCTCTCCCTCTCGCTTCTTCTCTCTGAAATCAATAAAAACATGGTTTTGAAAAGAGACTCAGACAGGCTGGCTCTGAGGGAAGCTGGCTCTGGTGGCTGCTGGGGATGGAGGCCAAGCCAGGGAGCGGGCCTGGGTGGGAGGGGGCCCTGGCAGGGCTGGGTGAGAGGGCAGAGGGAGGCGGATGGAGATGCTGGCCCGGCCCACACCACACACCTTCCCTGCACCCTGGCGGTTCTCCCAGTTGGACCCGGCCTCCCCGAGTGCCTGCCCCCATCCTGTGGCCCGGGCGGCCCGGCTCTGGACACCTGCTCTGCTCCCCCGCCTCTAACCTGACCTCAGCAAGCCACTGGCGCTGTGGGGCCTCTCTTCCTTTGCTTCCCCGCCTCATACCCACTGACCGGGTCTGAACTCAGCCCTGTGCTTACTTTCCCACCGGATCTACCCGTGGGAGAAACAGTGGGCCCATGAGTGCAACCCTGCCAACTCCCCTCCCTCCTGCCCCCAACCAGCTCTGGTGCCACCTCTTCCCCCTGGGCCCGCCGGAAGCTGGAATTCTGCCTGCCCCACTGCTGTGATGAGTGCTGCTCTCCCCCAGCCCTCCCACCCCACCCCAGAGGAAGAAGCCCAGGTCTGTGAATGGAGAGGGCCTGCAGCCAGGATGGGGCCTGGGGAAAGGCTAGGGAGGGCAGCCCTGGTCCCTGACACCCCTCCTCTGCCAGGACCCCTCCCGGGCTCCGGGCAGAGAGACCCACCTGTAAGGCCCCGGGTCCGGGAGGGGGGTGTTGCAGTAGGCGGGCTGGCCGAGGTCCGCCAGGCAGTCAGGGTCATTGCCCACCCGCAGCACGGCGATGCGGCTGTCGCCCACGGGATCCTCGCAGGGCAGCTGGTCCCGGGACAGGGGCAGCGTCATGTAGTGGCCGTCCGTCAGCAGCTGTGGGGAAGCTGGGATCTCAGCCAGTGTCTTCGGGTTCTGGAAGTCCCTAGAGGCTGTGGAAGGGAGGGACCGACCGACCCATGTGGCCGCTAAGCGAGCACAGCAAGGCCTTCCTTACCACAATCCCCGGCTGGGTCCATGGCCTCCAGCCCCCAGAGGGCCCCTGAGACGCAAAGCAGGGTGTGTTGCCCCCTCAGAGCCCCTCTCCATGAAGCCCAACTCCCAATCCACACCCACTCGTGGAACATCAGGGAGGGGCTCCCCAGACCCTGCAGCCCCACCCCTCACCCAGGCCCCACACCTGCACTAGGACGCACCGTTGCTAAAGGCCACCACCAGCCAGACGGTGTCGGCCGCCCCGGCGTGACCGTCCAGCGCGCAGCGCGGCTGCTCCAAGGAGAACGTGGAGGCCGTCACCTTCCCTTCCAGGTCCCCGGCTGTGATCTGCGGCGTGTAGGGGATCAGCTCTGCGCCATGGAGATAGGTGTGAGGGTCCTGGGGCCCCCTGCCCTGGGGCCGCCTCTCCCAGTTAGAGGACGTGGGCTCCCAGGGTCCAAACGCACCAACCAGCAGGTGCCCCAGCCCCTTGGGTCTGGCCAGGTGCATCCAATCCCCGGACCCCCTGCTCACCTAGGCTCGTGCAGGGCTGGGGCCAGACCAGCGCCACCAAGAGGAGCAGCAGCAGTGAGTGAGGCCGCCTCTGGGCGAGCCCCATGGCAGCCACCTTCCGCCACATCCACAGCCTGGGGCTGGTCTGGCAGCCTCCTGCTGCGCCCCTCCCCCAACACCGAGGCCGGAGAAGCTGGTTCGTCAGGCTGCCAGGCTGGCCAAGGGCTGGAAAGACCTGAAAATGTGAATGCACCCCGCCCCTCCCCTCAGCCCAGTCCCCCACAGGGAGGGGCCTGGGCAGGGCACGAGTGAGGGGCTGGCCTGGGCTGAGAGAGAGGCCACTGGAGCTCAGAGCCCCACGTCTGCATTTAGGCCCCACCCAGCCTCCCAGACCCCGGGAGGAGGACCAGCCTCTGGAACCTTGGGCTCAGGGCCACATGCCTGAGATTCCTGCACCCCGAGGTGCCAGGAGACAACCTCTGGCCTACCATCCCCACCCAGGAGCAAGCCTGGGGCAGCTCCAGCCTGTCCAGCTCCAGCCCCATCACAGCCGCCCGGCCCTGCAACCACCGTGCGCCCCGGCCTCTCTGCTGGGGCCACAGCCTCCCAGGTTCTTCAGCTCCCTGTCATCCAAGAACTCAGAGGAAGCTGTGCAGAGCCCTTGACTGCTGACAAGCCCCCCAACTTGCATTACTCCCTTTGGTTCTCGCTGTATACATGGGCGAGGCAAAAGCAGGTTTACAATGTTCATCAATAGTTAATACAAGAATAAACTGTTTTGCTCACTCACACTGTAAATATATAAACCACATATATTTTTTTTACTAAGATATAATTAATCCATATATTATAAAGTCCATCCTTTTCAAGTGTACAGTTAAGTCGTTTTTAGTATATTAACAAAGTTTGTGCAATCAACATTAATTCCAGAAATTTTTCATTTCAAGAAGAAACACAGTCCCCATGGAACACAGTCCCCCTCCCTCCCTCTGGGAACCACTCCCGCTTTCTGCCCAGATCTGCCTATTCCGGACATTTCACATAATGAAATCACAGTTGCGGCCTCTCATGTCTGGCTCTTTCACTTGGTTTCATGTTTTCAGGGTTCATCCATGCTGCCGTAGGTCAGTACTTGGTTTTTACGGCTAAGTAACATCCCACTGGTATGGACAGTCCACAGTTAGCTCAGCCATTCATCAGCTGGAAAGCTGCGTTTTCCCCACCTTTTGGCTATTATGAATAATGCAGCTAGGAACACTCACGAACAAGCTTTGGTTTGGACATGTCTTCAGTGCTTGGATGGGAACCTAGGAGTGAGGTGGCTTAGTCATATGGCGACCACTTTTTGAGGAACTGCCCAATCGATCTCCAAAGCAGCTGCATTTTACATCCACCAGCAGCAAAGGGCTCCGATTTCTCCACATTCTCACCAACATTTGCTGTTTTCCTTTCTCTTTATAATAACCACTCTCCTTGAGCATGACATGGTATCACTTTGTGGTTTTGCTTCCCTGATGACACTGAACATTTTTCATGTGCCTGTCAGCCATCTGCATATCTTCTTTGGAGAAAAGTCCTTTGCTTTTTTTTTTTTTTTAATTGGGTATTTTTATCCTTACTGTTGAGTTCCTTATACAGTCTGGGTACTAGACCCTTATTAGGTAGATGATTTGCAAACATTTCTCCCATTCAGATTCTCATTATACTTTACTGGTAGGAGTCAAGAGGGCAGCGGCACGCAGGAGCCCATCCCAAACAGGCTGGGGGGCAGCCAGGCCTCTCTGCCCTCCCTAAGACCAGCTCCCCATCAGGCTCAGTGGGCAGTGCCCAGGGCCCACAATACATTCAGGGGCCCAGGAAAAGTCCTCGTTTCTTTTAAATCAGAAGGAAAAAAATAAACTTCTAAATGGAAAAAAATGCTCTAACAGATTTTCATCTTTATATCAACACATCATAAAACAGAATTTGACTTTTTTCCTTTTTAAAAAAACACATTTTTATTGATTTCAGAGAGAGAAAGAAACATCAATGATGACAGAGAATCATTGATCGGCTGCCTCCTGCATGCCCTATACTGGGGATCAAGCCCACAATCCAGGCATGTGCTCTGACTTGAAATAGGTTCAAGGTTGATGCTCAACCACTGAGCCACGGCAATCAGGCATACCTTTTTTTTAATCCCTCCCCAAGGATACAGTTTTATTGATTTTAGAGGGAGAAACCCACAACCTAGGTATTTCCCCTGACTGGGAATCGAACCCACAAGATTTTGGTGTATAGGACGACACTCCACTGGGCCAAGGATAACATTTTTCTTATAGAGGAAGGATCCCACAAAGGCAAGAACGTCTCTGGCCCAAAATGCGGCTGTGTGTCCCTCCAGGCTCAGGCCACAAGCACTCCACCCCACCCCCAGCAGACAGCAAGTCTGAGAGTATTTGATCCTCTTTCTGAGAGGGTTCAGAAGGATTATCACTTTGAGGCTAACAGACCAATCCTGTCCCAGATTCCAGCTCTGGCTCTACCACTAGCTGGGACCTTGGGCCAGTCACTATATCCTTGAACCTCAGTTTTCCCATCTGTAAAATGGAGACGGCAGCACGGTGCTGCCCCAGAACTTGGGGTAGTAATGAGATGTGGGCTCGGAGTTGCTGGACTCTCCAGTGCAAGGACTGGAGTGGGGGGTGGGGAAGCAGCACGGTCAGTGCCATGGGCTCTCTGGCTCCCACTGCAGCCTGTTTCTTCATGTAGAAAATGGGAGGTGAATGGGCAGCCTGTAAGGTCCTTTCCAGCAGGACATGTGTGTGCAGGCCTTCACACATCTCGTACGCACGTGCACACGTGCGCACATACACACACATCCTCTCCACTGACAAATACACTAGGGCCTGCTGACTTTGGCTATTGGGTATTTATTGCAAACAGAACATCTGAGGTATGAGAAGCTGACCCAGACCCATGGCTGCCCCTGGCTAGGGGTGGGGCAGTCTCTCCTCAGCCCATGCCAGGTCCCCAGCACTGAGGTAGCTGCATCTTAAGCCCCCACAAGTACATTCCCCAGGCTTGCGGGTTCCATGCAAATCCAGGCCTGGAGGGGAAGAGGAAGGAGGAAAGGCAAACAGGAGAGGCCCCAGCTTCGATGGAAAATGCCCATGCCCCCAATAAACACGTCAGCTTCTGCGGAAAGCACCTTCCTGCCTGTCCATCTCAAGAGCAGCCCAGCCGGCAGTGGGGATGGGCGGCCGGCTGCCAGGCTGCTGGTCACTGCTGCCCCAGGCAGTCCTCAGTCACTCCCTGGGCAGCCAGCTCAGCAAGCACGTTCTGCAGGTAGTTGGGGTCCGGGTAGCCGTGGCCTGTCACATTGCGGTCCATCTCTGTCTTGTGGTGGATCTCGTTCCACACCACCGTGTCAGTCTCGCCCGTGGTGCTGGACGTCCCCACGGTGAAGATGAGCCGCCTCTTCCAGGCCACCTTCAGCAGCTCCAGGACCTGCCCGGGAGGAGGAGGAAGAAAAGGAAGAGGAAGTGAGGGAGGGAGGGAGGAAGGAAGGGTGGGTAAGCGCTGGCCTTCACAGGTTTTTCCACCCTGGGGAAGAGTTGGCCAGGTGACAAGGTGGGGCAGCCACTGCGCTCCCCTAGTTTGCCCCCGTGATAAGGACAAGGTCAGCAGCATCAGCCACCCACCAAGGTCAGCTGTGGGTTGTGTTGGTGCTGCAAGCTAGGACCTTGGTTCATTCAGCATGTGCCACTAACCACCAGCAGGGTCCCTGGGAGCTGGGCCCTTTCTCCTCTCCATTCTGTTCTGTTGCCACCTTAAGTGGTATCATCCACTGTCCCAGATGGAATCCCATCTGTGGGGGTCCCCAGCTTTTAGCTCTAACCCTGACCCCCGTGGAATGCCAACTGCTGTTCTGACAGTCCAATGACCTCACACTGAGCACTTGCATAACTCAAGTCTTGGCCCTCCCACCTCAGACAGTGCTGCCATCTACTCAGCCCCTGACGCCTGATTAGTCCCCATTTCCAAGTACATCTTGGATGAGCTTCCTTCTGTCCCTCCGCATCGAATCCAGGCCTCCCTGCTCTCTCCTATTCCTGCTGCTCTCCACACTCAGTCACAGCAGCAGAGAGAGCTTTACCAAAACTAAAATCTGCAGCTCCTACAACTCCACTGACACACCCTCGCCTCGTGGCATCGCACAGTGCTTAGACGAAAGCCCTTGTGCAGCTCACTCCCCCTCACCCATTTGGTTCTCCTCAGGCTCCTCACATCGTCCCAGCCTGTTCCCATCTCAAAGCTGTCGCACCAGTTGCTCTGTCTCCCACGGACAAGGCAAGTCCTGCCTCGGGTATCGGTGCAGAGGCACAAGCTGGCCCATGAGGCTGCTCAGAGACAGCGGCTCCTCCCCACGCTCCAGTGAAGTGTGGACCTGGTGCTCCCAGCTCCTGAGGATGCCAGCCCACAGCAGGTTCCTGGGAAGAGTGGCCTTGCGCTGGAATCAGCACTTGGGCACAGGCCTGCCAGCGGGGGGCCCTTCCCAAGGGTGGCACGGGGCCTTACCTTGCGGCCCTGGGCATTGTCAGGAAGGTAGCACTGGCGGGGAAACCCTCTGGCAGTAAACGGCTTCCCGGGGTTGGGGTGCTCAGGGCCCTGCAGGAGGAACACAGACAAGGGAGTGGGGGTGCTCTGAGAGAGGCTCCCCCACTAGAGCTGCACCAAACACGCAAGGCCCAGCCTCGCCCCTTTACCCTCCTGGCTGGGGCTATTCCTAAGCTCAAGTGGCCAAATAAATGGCTGCCTCTCTCAAATCCTGCCCCTAAAGACCCAGCGTGAACATGGCTGCACTCCCTGAATGCATGCTACTCCTCCTGGCACCAGACACTCCTCACTTCTCCTATTTCCCTGATGAGAACAGAACCCCTCAAAGGCTGGACGGAGGCTCCTACTTCCTTCGGCAATCCTCCAGGCATGGGGCTCTCTGGACTGGACAGCAGGTCTGCCAGCCTTCAGGACACCCTCATTCCAGCTCACAGACCCCTCCAGTCTTCACTCTAGAAGTGGCTGGAGCAGGGCCCTGGACGGTGGCCGTGGTCTGCACAGGAGTGTGGGGCTGGCACGGCAGACAGCCCTTTTCCTGTCCTCTGCTACACAGTGACACGTCACCTACAGCAACAAGTATCCCTCCGGCCCAAAGGTCCCATCTGGGACCACTGGGATCCTGCAGCCTTCTGCAGGATCTCCGTCTTGTTTCTGACATCCAGACCCAGCCCTGCCACTCCCGACCCAGCCTCCTCTGGCTACGGAGCCATCTCTCCATCCGTCTTCACTGCCAGCACCTCCCGGCCGTGTCCTGTGGCCCCAAGAGGATTCTGCCGCCCAACACAAGTGCTCTTCCTGTTTATACACTTGACCTTCTGCCAAGTACAGATCCAGCTAAGACGTCTCTGCCTCCAGGAAGCCTTCCCTAACTCAGGAGAGAGCCGAGGGCCACCTTTGCTTCCTAAGAGCTTGCCTCCTGTTCCTGACGTCCTCACAAGGACCAGGGAGAGGGCTGATTCCAGGTGGGTCCCAGGAGGCTCCTCTTTGCCGGGCCCTCACCTGGACGCCGGGAGGGATGTTGTAAACTATGAGTATTGTCCCGCAGTCCTCGTGGCCAGGGAGGGACACCGGGTAGCTGAACACCTCCATCTTCCCCCGAGGCTGGGTCCCAGTCTTCTCTCCGTAGATGGTTTTGCAGGAAGGACACTGTAAGCTTCCATCCTGAGACAAGGCAGAACGCCACACACTGAGCCGGAGGCCCCGAGGGAGCACCCAGGCACCGCCACCCCCGTCTGGAGGGGAAGGAGGCCTGGGGGGACAGGTCGGCTGACATCACACGTCGGGTCTGGGCATGTGGCCCAACGCCCAGACGGCTCCTCACACAGAAACTTGATTCCAACAGCTTCCTTAGAAAGACAAGTTTTGTACCAGAAACTTGTTATGTAATTTTCATTAAAGGAGACTGGCATCAGGTAGAAAAATCAGGTTTATGAACAAAAGACCCCACAGTCTAATCACATTTCAAGTCAAACAAGAAACCCTGTGACTGATCAACTGTTGGTGCTGGCCCCCTGCTGGCCAGGATCCACAGGGACACTGTGGAGAAAGGCCAACCACGCCCGAGGGTCTGCCACATCTCAGTTCTCTCCGTCCTCCCAGGCTCTGTCCACTCCGGCCGAACGCCACCGAGGGAAGAGCAGCCAGACGTCACCCGCCCCCCCAACCCCGACCCCACCCTGTTGCAGGGAAGGGGCTGCCTCTGAGCACACCCCGGGTCCTGCTCAAGGCAGCTCGTCACCTGCTCAGACGCAGCGTGACCGGGCAGGCCACCCCGGCTCCCTCCCTGGGCCAGCATGTAGGCACCTTGTTCCCATTGCAGTACATGGCCAGCAGGCAGAGCAGGTGGAAGGCATGGCTGCACTTGGTGAGGCGGCCCACAGCCCCTGGTCCGATGGTCATGCTGTTGGTCACGTCACTGTACCCAGACGCCACGGACAGTTTCTCCATGCAGATGATGCAGTCCTGGAGGGGGACCAAGCAGGGGGAACGTTCACCAAGAGACACTGCACCCAGAGGCGAGACTTGTAGGAAAAGGCCTTCATGTGCTGACCCGCCATACAGTCACAGTCAATTCAACAGTCATTTGTTCCAGGGGCTGGGAACAGATGAGTCACTGGGATCTGTGCCCTCAGGGGCTTACCCTAGCAGGAGAAAGGACAGGCAGCACTGAGCCCGGGGCCAGTGCAGGAACAGAAGCAGAGGCCAACACTGCAGTAGAAATAGCCGGATAGAGAGGAAGAAAACAGGAGAGGCCCTCCACGCTGGGTTTTCAAGAAAAAGGGGAAGTTGTCGGATGGGTAAGAGCGGGAATGGACGTTGGGCTACAGGGAAGAGAATGATCTGAAGCATGAACCAGCATGTGGTCCGGGAGGGGCGGCAGCACCTGTAGAGGAAGGGTGTAGATGAGATAAGACGGGCGAGGATCAGATCCCAAAAGCTTCTGATCATGCTCAGGAGTTAGGGCTTTGTCTTATAAATCAGGCCTCATGGAGGAGTTTGTTTTTTATTTATTTTTATTTTTTATTTTATTGATTTTTCACAGAGAGGAAGAGAGAGGGATAGAGAGCTAGAAACGTTGATGAGAGAGAAACATCAACTGGCTGCCTCCTGCACACCTCCTACTGTGGATGTGCCCGCAATCAATGTACATGCCCTTGACCGGAATCGAACCCGGGACCCGTCAGTCCGCAGACCGACGCTCTATTCCCTGAGCCAAACCGGTTTCGGCATGGAGGAGTTTTGAGCAGGTTTGTAGCATGAGGGTAAAGAGAAAAATCAGTGCTGTGAAGTGGGAACAGAGAGGTCTGGAGGGAGGATGGGAGACACAGGATGGCTTTCAGGCTTCTGTCTAAACCTTTACCAACCTCACGTTTCCCACATACTCGACCGTCAGGAGAAACAGGCCAGTGAGGAGCCCTCGGTTCTGTTCTGGAAGGACTGACATTTAGCCCCCCTCCTCCAGATGCTCAGGACTCTCCATTCAAATCAGAGAAAAGCGGCCCCTCCATGTGGCTCAGCAGAGAGAGGTCTGGCCGGCCCTGTTAATTACAGGAGCCCTGACCAGCTCTCCCCCAGCTAAGGGGCAGGACTGCTATCTGGACAGGCCACTTCCCTTCCACACCAGCGTCAACAAGGCAGGCTCCCCCATTCCTTGTCTCCAGGACCCCCAGCCCCGGGATGGCACAGGGCTACACAGAGGCCTGTACAGCCAGCGAGGGGCTCTGCTCAGGATCACACTTGTTTGTGACAAAGCTAAGATTGAAATCTAAGTTTCAAAAGCTACAGCCACCTCATCTTGGTAAGGCCTGCCTCACAGGGAGGCTGGGAGATTAAACCCAAGTGCTGAGGGCCTGGTGCAGGCCAGATTGGTGGCCTTCTCGTCTGGAGCTGCCTCTTGTTTCTTTTCTTTTCAAATATATTTTATTGGTTTTTTTACAGAGAGGAAGAGAGAGGGATAGAGAGTTAGAAACATCGATGAGAGAGAATCATCGATCAGCTGCCTCTTGCATACCCCCCACTGGGGATGTGCCCGCAACCAATGTACATGCCCTTGACTGGAATCGAACCTGGGACCTTTCAGTCTTCAGGCCGACGCTCTATCTACTGAGCCAAACTGGTTTCAGCTGCCCCTTGTTTCTAAAAACTACAAGCTGCCTGGCTCCTGGGCACCTACCTCATCTGGGGCAGTCTTCAGCTCTTCGGTGTATTTTCTTATCACCTGCTCGGGCTCCGGCTTTGGAGTCCCTCCTACAAGAGAAGAACATCAGCAGTGTCCCAAGGAGTATAAACTGGAGATGCTGAAACCACAGAGAAAGGAGGGCAAGGGAGAAGTCCAAGCTGCCAGGAGGGATGGTAGAGGCTGAGACAGGAACGTTAGCATGCAAGAGGAGAAACCTGGAGTCAGGCGCACAACACTCTGCTTGGCTGAGCCCTATCCAGGCCCGCACACCGGGAGCCGAGCCCCAGGAGCCCCGGAGGCAGAGGAAGAGGAGCAGAGACAGCAGCTGGTCACAGCCCTCAGGTCCCCGCACACATTCGGTCAGGAAACCAGACCAGGCTCCTTGGAGGACATGCAGAAAAGTCAAACAGCAGTTTTTAGAACAAACTACTCTGGAGCCTGTGCTGGAGGTGTTATTTCACTCCAGTTGCGTTATTCTTATAATAAAGTCTCGGAAGAGAAGTGTAAGAGGCGAGTGTGTAGCGGGTGCCTGCCCATGTGAGCGTCTTGTGTGCACGCTGACAGCAGACAACAGCCACACTGACATCGTCACAACAAGCTGCCCAATCTTCTGAGTCCGCCCCAGACTGTGGGATCTTAGTGACCCACCTACTCGGTTCCTAAGGCGAGTGATCTGGGAAGCAGCCAAGACAGGCAGCAGGAAGGGTGCCCTGGCCGCCCGCTCCTCTCCAAACCTCCCACTCCTCTGTGCACATGTTCAGAGGCTGGGAGGGGAGCCCTGCACCCACACGAACACTGACCCTGTGCCAACAGGCCTCACCAAGGACAAGAGGGAATCCGTACGGAGGGGGGCTTGTCCGGACAGACAGCGGCAGAACCAGAGAGAATGGTGGTAGCAAAGCCTGTGCGAGAGCAGAGAGGAGGGGCCAGGGAGACTGGGGCAACGTGGGAACACAGTCCTGCAGGGCTCCTCATCCTGCCTCAAGGGCACTGGGGAGCTCCTAGCCTCCAACACCAAAGGCCTGTGGCTTGAACCCAAGCTCATGGCCATCAGCTTATGGCTGCAAAGACTTACAGGCCTGAGGTTTCATAATCTGAGCTCCCTCTAGACTAGGGGTGTCGAACTCAATCAGAGAAGGGGCCAAAATCTAAAATCCAGCCTAAATCGCGGGCCGAATGGTTTACTGAACAGTCATAAACTGTCATTGTGATGGAAACGCAATGCAGTGATGACAGCGCGGTGCGGAGTGCAGTGATGACAGCGCGGTGTGGGCCACATTGCAAGGCCTGGCGGGACGGATTTGGCCCGCGGGCCTTGTGTTTGACACATGTGCTCTAGACCACAGGCCCAGTGATAGTTGTGAGGGGAGTAGACAGGCTGGGGTCAGGCAATGTCTGGCTCTTATGCTGGGACCAAATCATGTTCCCCGAGTCTCAGTTACCTCGTCTAAAAAGTGGAGACCTAATACCAACCAAAGCAGATAGCTGTAAAGGCACTAACTGTTATTACCTGAAAGGCAGCTGCAGGCAAAGAATACCAGACTCTACACGCCCCCTCCCCATACACACACACACACACACACACACACACACACACACACACACCAATAAGCCCCCTCTCCGCCCACACATACACAGACACTCAGAAACTTTGAGGATCTGCCTCTGATAAGAAAGCCAGGCCAAAGCACAATGACCACCAACACTTGGTGGCTGTCCTGGTATCAGAGACTCTACTCAGATTTGTGGAGGAGACTCTCGGAAAAACCTGGTGGCTACAGACCCGTCTCCAGAGGAGCTTAGGACCCCATCCACCAGGACTAGTCACTGGCCCACTTCTGGTGAGGCGCAGCTCAGCATCCCATTCCCCACCTACCCGCCCTGGCCCGGGCAGCCTCTCAGAACTGAAGGTAGCGTTCCACGAGCCATATTTCTCCAAGGGAGCCAGCCAACCCCATGAAAGGGACATCTGAGCCCAAGAAGGCCAGGTCTGCCAAGAGCCTAAGTGTTCTTTCAAGACAAACCCAAGTGCCTCGGAAGGCTGCTGGCCTGCCCTGCCCACAGACCTGTCTGTCTCCATCTCCACGGAGAGTAAGAACTGGACTGGAGTCAGGACCTGAGCCTGCCAGGACTGCTGGGGTGAGGGTGGGATTGGGTGGGGCTGGGTAGGCAAAGCCCTGCCCCCTCCCTGGGCCTTTCATCTGCCCGGTGGGGTGCCGGTTAGACAGGCGGTGGGCATGATCAGAGCAGGTGCTTCCTGTGTTGACCTTCTACTCCTCCCACAACCAATCTGCTAAGTAGGAGGCACTGGCTCATGAATGGAGGAGACACTTGTGTGAGTTCACAAAGCTGGTGAGTTCTGGAACCAAGACAAAAACCCAGGATGGCTGAGCCCAGATGTGCTCCCTGCTCACATCATCCTGCTCTCAGCAGTCCATGCTTCCCTGGCTCCATGATGGAGCTGGAGCCACAAACGGCTTTAGAAATGACAGGTTTAGAACTTCTCACCCGTCTTGTTAAAACTCACATGGTTCTGAAACCACTTCTCCAGCAGGGTGATGGGCAAGGCAGTGGTCTGGGGGCCTTTCCTGAGACACACACTGGTCCCAGTGATCTCTCATCCTGAACTGGGCCTCACCCCACACCTATGTTACAAAGTCACAGTCTGTAAAAACAGGCCGCTTGCCATCTGTGCCAGGGAGACAGGACCTGAACTTGGGGACTGCAGGAGAAAGAAGATTCCCAAGGGGCCACCTCTGCACTGAGGGCAGGGAGAAGGGCTCGGAGCCCACGTGCCAGCAGGTGAAGGAAGCAGAGAAGGGCCATGGGAGTCAGAGAAGAGCAACTGATGGGGAAGTCAGAGGCAGCAAGACTTGGAGGCGGCTGAGCAGAGGCCAGAGAGTATTTGTGAGCAGAAACTACCTTTCATGGACATTTTCCTCAATCTCTTAACTGAGCTGTGACTTTTAGAGGCCAGACAGGAGGCGGGAGGACTGGCAGGCTGGGGTGCGCGGCTAAGACACACAGGGAGTCCGATGGCTGACATCAGAACACTCGTCATGCCTGCACGGGGTGCGAGATCAGACATGCAGAGGGGAGAAACATTAGGAGGAGTCGATTGGTGCGTGTCGTCCATAAACCCCAGCTGAGTCCAGGTGGCACTGTGAACGGCCATCAGGACCCACTGGTCTCCCTGGAGAATCTGGCGGCTTGAGGCTGGCAGGGCAAAGCTCCAGGCAAGCCAGTGAGATGCCTGGCTCATTGGAGTCCTGGCCCCAAGTTCCACAGGTGTCTATCCAAGCAACTAATCAGCTTGCACCCAGAACATGCAGGAGGGCGAGGCCATTTGCTTCCGGAGGACAAAGGGCAGAATGCCACCCCAGGAAGCCTCCTGAGCAGTTCCGGGTGGCGTCTCCCCATGCCAGGCACGGAGAAAGAGCAGAAGGGCAACATGGAAGGGTGTGGCCAAGCTATGGAAACATGGAGGGGCTTTCAAGCTCACAATCCTCCCCGTGTTCTCCCTGCACACCCCCTCAGCTCCCAGTCACTGCCTCCAGGGGGCACTGTATGTTTTCTGTGCCCTATTGGAACTGTCTAGGTCAGCAGTCGCCAACTGGTGGTCCAAAAGGTTGGCAACTGCTGGTCTAGGTGGCTTCAGTGCCATTGCTCGGGTGGGCAAGCAGGAGAGCGGACCCTGAGCCTACTCCCCAACAAAGGTGTCCCCACGGCCCAGGGGACTGCTCCTCTAGGGCAGCACAAGTCCCAAGCCATGGCTTCCTCCTCTGTAACCTCAGCCGAGGCTTCAACAGCCCTTCGGCCCTGGGTGGGCATGTCCACATGGGGAGGGAGCTGAAAAGGAAGCCCAGCTGAGATGGATGTCCATTCTTGTCATACTGCCTGATGCCTGCAGGGGGAGGCCTCACTCCTCAGCCAGGTGCTCCACCTGTCCTACCATCTCCTAACTGACCCTCATCCCACACTGCTCCCTTAGCACTCCCTGAGGGTCTGACACTTCCTGGAACACAGCATGACCTCCTATTGGAGTGGCTACTCCTGCCACCCTCTCAGCCTATTCCGCCGTCCACAGCACCACTTCCCCAAACCCTCTGGTCCTCAGTCTAGCTCAAAAGCACCTCCTCCTGAGGGGAGCTCTGGGCTTCTCCTTGAGTACCTCCCTGAGTGTGGCATTCTGGGCGCTCAGAATCTGGCTAGGGAGCTGGACACAGCCTGGGGAAGGAGTGGAGAATCTGAACCTGCTGGGCCCCATTTCCCCACCTAGCAAGGCCAACAGAGCTGCCCACTCCAGAGGCGATTCAGAGCAGTGAGATGACACCTGGCCTTGGGATCCATCATGCCAGCCACTGTGGCATCTACCCCTGGGCCACCAGTCCCCAAGAGGCCAAGCATGATCAACGCTCCTGTCCTCTTCAAGGCAGGACCCATTCTCCTGAATTCAAGTTGCAGACACAGGTCTCCACTTAGAAGCCTGCAGAGTTTGCCTTCTTGTGAAAAAGTGGGAAAGCAGCACGTAGTGAACAGAATGGCCAGGGGACACCAAGATGGACCATCACATCTTCCCCAACAGCAAGGGCTCAGGGCAGCCACCCAAAGTCCTAACACCGCTCAGACAGCCACAGCTTTCCTCCGCTCCTCTGATCTGTCAGAGCCCCGAGACTGCAGGCCTTTACACAGGCAGATGTGTGAACACCCCTTTCTGGCACCAAAGATCTGCCTTCGTCCAGTGACCAGCTCAGGTCTGAGCTTATCCTCCTCTGGCTCTGGTCTTACCAATCAGGGTTCAAGCCCAGCACCCCTCCTCCCTAGATGACTTGGGCAGGTTGCAGCAGCATAAAATGTAGATACTCTCCTCCCTCACAGGGTGGGAACCTAGCCCCAGCATCCCCCACTCCCCAAAAGAGGGGTCCAGGCCATGCCACAGCCAGTGAAGCTGTCACCTGAGGCACTCCTGGCCTGACCTGGAGGGGGCTCCTCTGTGGACCTCCTCCGCCAGTGCAGAGGGGCACACAGTCCAACAGCCTGGCCACTTGTTTGTAAACCTACCTGCACAGCCTGTGTCTAAGTGCTCAGCTCCCTGCGGCCGTGCCTGAATCCATACTCCCAAGCCCATACACATAGTCCAGGCTGAAAGAACACTCTCCAGACCTTGTTTCTTGGGGGCTGGCCTGGGATCTCTTGTTCCTTGGCGCCCCAAACAATAGTCCCAACAACAGGTAGAAGCCAGAGGCTTGCATTCAGGGAAGGTGGCATCTGACCATGGACTCCAATTCAGTCTCTACTCTTTTCTAGCTGGGACCAAGTTCCTGAACCTTTGGGGTCTGTTTCCCCAATAAGTGAAGGTTAAAATACCTGCTTACTTCCAGGATTGCTCTGAGAGTCAAGGCAAGAGGGGACAGTGAGAACAGTTTCAGATACTTTTGCTGTAGCATTTTTGCCATAAACATTTCACTGCATAACTAATTGGACATTAGGCAATTCTTCCATTTAAAAAAACACACACAGCCAAAACCGGTTTGGTTCAGTGGATAGAGCGATGGCCTGAGGACTGAAAGGTCCCGGGTTCGATTCCGGTCAGGGGCATGTACCTTGGTTGTGGGCATATCCCCGGTGGGGGGTGTGCAGGAGGCAGCTGGTCGATGTATCTCTCTCATCGATGTTTCTAGCTTTCTATCCCTCTCCTCTCCCTTCCTCTCTGTGAAAAATCAATTTTCAAAAAACAAACACACACACACACACACACACACACACACACACAAAATCATGACAAAAGAGGGACATTAAAAAGGAATAAAATTAAAAATATATATTGTGAAATATAAAATATTTGACTACCTTTGTGTGTGTGTGTGTGTGTGTGTGTGTGTATTAATCCTCATCTGAGGTCATTCTTTCAAAAAGAGAGGGAGGGAGGGAGGGAGGAGAGAGAGAGAAACATTGATGTGAGACACACATGGACTGATTGCCTCCCACATGTGCCCCATCCTGGAACTTCTTATAAACGTGTGTGCTAAAGCCTCAGTGATTGCAGAGAGGACAGGAGCCATGTAACGTGCAGACCAAGACTGTCCACCCACAACTTTCTCCAACAAGACTGCCACCAACACATGCACTCATGCACATGCGTGCATACACACAGAGGGCAGGGAGGAAACCTGCAACTCAGGTACGCGCCCTTCACTGGAAATTGAACCCGTGACACTTTGGTGTGTGGGCCAGTGCTTTAAACCACTAAACGCACCAGCCAAGGCCATTTGACTACACCTTTAAAATGTGTGCAGGTTCATCAGGTGCAAGCCACAGAATAAAATCAGATACTGCACCAATACCTGATTTTATTCTGTGGCTTGTACCTGAGCACTTGTCTTTGTCCTATGGGAAATGTGGGTTCAACTCTCTTTCTCTACCCAATGTTGTGTGTTCCAAAATAAGAAACCAACTATCTCTCGGGGAAAATCGTCGTCATCTGGAAGAAATGCTATTTTAACCACCACTATATTTAAGTTCTTTGTCTATGGAGAAATAAACCAACTAAACAAAAAAGAAACCAAACCAACCAAAAGCAAAATAAAAAATGTCAACCAGTTATTTTACTTTTTTTTTTTTTTTTTTTTTTTTTTAATGGCAAAACTGCCTTATGGCCAAATAGTTAGGTGGCAAAAACGTCTGTAGTAGAGATGCTATGGTTCTCGACACAAGAGTAGAAGAAAGGGAGCTACAGCTACTCAATACCTAGAGCACTTCTGGAGATTCTTCTAAACATGTGTGCTAAAGCCTCAGTGATTACAGAGAGGACTGGAGCCATGTAACGTACAGGCCAAGACTGTTCACCCACAACTTTCTCCAACAAGACTGCCACCAACACATGCACTCACGCACATGCAGGCGCACACGCACCCACACAAGTCTGACTCATCTATGGCAGCAGATGCCACAAAAAGATCTAAACTGGACAGGAACTTTCTAGTCACCATCTTTGCTCACTGCCCTCTGTTCTAGCAGAGGGTTAATGGCTGAGCAGCTGAAGCTGGTGCCAGAGGGCCTGCAGGGCAAGGCCTCCCCTCCTGGGCGTTCCCAGCCCCACTCTCCCATCTCCTATTACCTTCCTGACTGGTCCTTCTATTTCCTTCAAGGCTCTTCTTCCCAGTGCCCCACCCATGGTCCCTGTAAGCTCACACTCTTCCATGGAGGGAAGAGGCCATCCTGAACTGCTTGTCTGAGCTGCACATCCAAACTCCCACTGCCTCTAGGCTAGTTCCATCCATCTATACCAGCCATGGCCCCCTCCCCCCCGCAGCGTTCCCACCAGACTCAGGAGCAGCACAGTGTAACAGCTGAACGGCTAGATTCTGAGGACAGAATGCTTGAAGCTGCATCCCAGCTCTCCAAGGAGAGGCTGGCTGATCTAGAGAAGTTTTGGAATTCTCTGAGCCTGTTTCCTCAAGTGTAAATGGGAATAAAATTCCCACCTCACAGAGCTGTGATTGGGATGAAGTGAATCAACACACATACAAAGCTCCTAGTGAACCCTCACTAATAATTTCTTACAGCACTGCCGTCAGCAGCTGTACACCAGGCCTCGTTCTAGCCCTTCTCTCTCACAATCAGGCCCACCACCAAGTCAGAGCTCTTACCTCCATCCCACTGTCATGGCACTACAGGGGCGCTCGCTGGCTTACCTGAGGCACGAAGTCAGGCTCCACAAGGGTCTCCCTGCCTCCAGGACTGTCTTCCCCATATTATCACAGCCACTCACCTAACACATTCTCTCCACTGATCTTATTCCTCTGTTTTGGTCTTTACATGACGAAGGTTCACTACATTGAATCTACCTTTCTAGAGCACTTTCTATTTCTCATAAGGTAAAAAATAACTTTCACTACCTCCATAACACCTGTAAAAAGAACTTAAAAAACAGTTCCAAGAGGTATGGTTAACAAAAGATCTAGCAAGACACAAAAGCCACTTATTCATAATGTCACTCTAGCCAAAATAGTTCTGGAACTTTCCCAGAGGCCCCTTTTAGGAAATGCCTAACGCATTTCAGAATAGGAATGTGATTCCTGAAACATAATTCAAGATGATGTGAAAATTTAAAAGATGGCACCTGGCCCAGGAGCTTAGTTGGTTAGAGCATCATCCTTCGTCAGGACACATACAAGAATCCTATATAATAATCCTATATAATAAAAGGCTAATATGCAAATCGACAGAATGACAAAATGACCAGTTGCTATGATGCGCACTGACCACCAGGGGGCAGACGCTCAATGCAAGAGCCGGCCCCTGGAGGTCAGTGCACTCCCATAGGGAGAGTGCCACTCAGCCAGAAGCCGGGACCACAGCTGGTGAAAGCAGCAGTGGTGGCAGAAGCCTCTCCCGCCTCCATGGCAGCGCTAAGGTTGTCTGACTGCCAGGCCTAAGCCATCAATCAGACATCCCTCAAGAGGGCGCAGATCGGGTTGAGGGACCCGATGAGTGCACATCCCCCATGAGTACACAAATTTTATGTACCAGGCCTCCAGTCAACCAATAAAGACAAATGGGTGGAGCAACAAACTAATGTTTCTCTCTCTCTCTGTCCCCCACCCCTCTAAAAATTAACAAATTAATAAGGTTTTTTAAATTTTATTTTAAAGATAGGGGAAGGTCCACACCAGGGCATCCACCCCTGAAGAGAGAAAGGAAGGGTACCCCAGGCTCGCTCACCATCACTGACAAGAGGCACTGCCCCCTCAAAGGAGCCCTTTTGGGTTTCCATGAGAACACAGAGGATAACAACCCTCACCCCACAATCTCCTCCCACTGCCCCCAAGTCTTGCCAGACACAGCCTGTTCCAGACCCCAGAGCCCGAGAGCAGCAGGCCTACCTGCAAGGGCTTGCTGGACCCTGCTGGGCTTCGGCATCTGCACGGGCACAGTGGTGGGGATGCTCCCAGGACCGCTGGGCATGGAGGCACTTGGGGAGAAGAGAGCAGAGTTTAGTGTGTGGAGCCGACTTAGCAGAAAGGAGAGTCAGAGAAACACCAGAGAGACACACTGGTGCTGCCGAGGCCCCTTTTTACAGCTGCTTCTGTGTGAGTGAGGGCTTCTGCTTTTTCTTTTTTTTAATTAAAGATCTGATGAAGAATATCTGAAAAGAGGAGCAAAGAAATCTGAATTTCACCACTCTCAGACCCAAACTAACCTATAGAATCTGAGTACTTCAAAATGTTAAGCCCAGAGCCTGGTCCACCATCACTTGCTCTGCAAAAATCACTTGACAGAAATAAAACTTCAGGTCAGGCAGGGACTGCTGGGGTATGAGGTCTCAACATTTTTTTAAAAAGCTTTAACTGTCAAAAAATGTTTTCCTGGCAAACCCAGACTGTGAAGACAAAAAAATTGAGCTTGCTAGCTTCATAAAAAGGAGAGCTCTATGATTGCTGTAGAAGAAAAATTCACTAGAAGCCACTTTAACAAGTGATCAAAACCAACATTGTCAGTAATATGACCAATCAGTATCAGGAACTCCAAGGAACAACGCTCCAAGGACACACCACCATTTTTGCAGTTTCTGCCAAGATTGCAAAAAAACAGTCCAAATCACTAGAAAACATCTGACCAACCCAAATTAAGAGACATTTGACAAATTATGAAAGTGTCAGGGTTATAGGAAGCTGAAGACAGACCAAGGAACAGTCACGATGGTAGAAAGAGAAGAATTGACAACTGGATGCAAAGAATGAGACACAGAATGAAAAGAATGGTTGAAAACTGGTTAATGAATAGTACTGCACCAATAGTAATTATTTGGTTCTGAAAACTGCACTATGGTTATGAAAGATGTTAACATGAAAAGTCTAGTAAAGGAGATATGGAAACTCACTATACTATCTTTTAAGTTTTTCTGTAAATATAAAATTGTTCAAAATTAAGGGATTAAAAAAAGAGGGTCTTGCTTCTTACAGTGACTATGTTCAAGTCACTAATTTGGCTTCAGGCCATTATATATAAATTTTTTTTTTTAAATACACTTTTGATTTCAGAGAGAGGGAGATGGAGAGAGAGAAACATCAATGATGACAAAGAATCATTGATTGGCTACCTCCTGCACATCCCTTATAGGAATCAAACCCACAACCCAGACATGTGCCCTGACTGGGAATCAAACCCTGACCTCCTGGTTCATGGGTCGATGCTCAACCACTGAGCCACATAGAGCAGGCTAGGCCGTTGTATAAAGCATTTAATTTGTTAGTCTTTGGGGCGAATCTGATGCATCACCAGGTGCATTAAAACAGAACCATTAATCTTATAGCTTCGTCAACATTCACTGGTCTGTTTTCCTGACTCTGCTAAAGAGCCAGCTGTTTCTGCAGAGGTTCGAGGGAAAGGCCTTGAGAGAAGTGAGCTAGCTCCTTCTCTATGTCCACAAAAGCTTCATTCATTCTTTTAACTTTTTCAGCGTTCACCATGTTTATCTCCTTAAGATTCGTAGTTTTGCTTTACTTTTACCCTTTAAGTTTTTTTGTGTGTTTTTTTGCTGGCTATGTGAAACACATTCCTGGGCTCCTGCCCTTTCCATTTGTTCTTGGCCATTGTCAGGGTGACCTCTCACAACCACTCGTGCTAGGTATTTTTAAATATAAATCTATGCCATTACGGCTGAGGAGAGCCCTGCACTGGAGAACAATTGGTGTAGATGGCCCAAGGTGACAGCCAACACCCCCAATCCTAGTTTCTGTGTCCTCCCATCCAACCTTGCCCATGTTAAATAGTTATAAAATCCTTCCACCTAATCCTTACACTGGAACTTGTCAAATATAGGGCCTGTTTCTTTTCTCCTGGGGGTACTAGGAAATGATGGACAGCTTCAGCCTACTGTGCTACCCTTACATCTGCCAGTAAACCAACAAAATGCTTCCAGAAGCTGCCCCTGATCCTTCCCGACCACTAGCTGGTGGAAACTACAGGGAGCTGACTGGTTTTTATCCACACCAGAAGAACCTCCTACCGAGCTAGTGCTGAAGCTGCTAGCGCCTCGCCAGGGTCTGTAGCGCAGCAGGTGCTGTGGTATATCTGAGTGAAGAAAGGGGTGGTTTTGTTTTCATTCCTGGATTGTTCTCCCGATCAGAATATCCTGTGTGGCCATGCTACCTGCCCTCCCCATCTACTCTCCTCCCCAAAAGAATGACGGAACTGGACCTTGGACCCAGAGTGTTCAGATAATGCAATGGCGAGCTGGGTGTTCAGGACACCAAGGGCTAAGGTTTTGGCCCACTAAACTCTGTTTAATTTGGAACAAGCTCCACCCCAACTCCCTCCCCTAATTTCTGAGCCTCTTCCCCATTAGTTTTCTTATTTTTGTTTTTGGTGTTTGTATTTTGTTGTTGTTGTTGTTAATCCTCACCCAAGGATATTTTTCCATTGATATTTAGGGAGAATGGAAGAGAGGGGGAAAGACAGAAACATTGAAGTGAGAGAAACATATCAATTATTTGCCTCCTGCACAAGCCCTGACCAGGGCCCAGGCCATGGAGAAGCCTGCAAGGTATGTGCCCTTGACTAGAGTCGAACCTTCGGTCTGCAGGCCAATGCTCTGTCCACTAAGCCAAACCCATTTGTTTTTGTTTTTTTTAAAGGGATGTAATTCTTTTTGCAATTCTCAGGTTCTGTAAATGAAGGAATTCAAGAAGATATAGCCCTTCCAGTCATCTTTCACCTCCCAAGCCAACTTTCCGGGGAGCTGAGCTTGAGCCCTCAACCAGGAAGCCAGAAAGCTACAACAGCACAAAATTAATGGGCTACTCAGTGGGCTCAGCACTACCGGCCCATAGGGGCTCCAGGAAGTGAGGTCTTCCTTCACCACAGAGAGGCACATATCTAAGGGAGAAGGCCTAATTTTATGTTTCATCCCCTCAAAAACTAGAGCACAAAACAGATAGGCAATGAGGCTTCCAGTAGGCAACTCACCAGGGAACAGGGACCAAGAACCAAGAATCATGACTAAGTTTTATTTGCTTAAGGGTCTTCCAATGTGGCCACTTCCCCTATGAATTATCCTAGCTCCTCTCCCCATTTCCCTGCTCGGATCAGAGAAAATGAAGCAGAAAAAGGATCCAGTGGTTCCCACGATGAGAACTTCCAAGAGTGGACAGAACCTCGGTGGCCATCGATCCATCCCATCATCCCCAAAAGGCTCAGACTAACAGCAGCCTCCCTGTGGGGCATCATGTGCAGTGCCCTCCTCCGAGAATTCCTCAGTCACTGCCTCAAGCCTCCCTCTCGGCCTCTCACCTTTCTGGGTCTACCTACTAAGCCTCCCTGGCCTTCCGGTCTGAGACCATCGCCTGGAGCTTCCCAATGGAGATGAGAACATGACACATGCGGACACACAGAATGTGACAGCCCCAGGTAAGGGGCAGCTAGGCGGCTGAAGAGTAAGAAAATGCAAGGCCTCCCTCCACCTCCCAAAGACCAGGAAGCCAGCACCAACCATGTACAGGACAAGGAGGTCAGATGTGGAACCTGACACCCCATCTCCAGGGCCTGCTCCTGCTTAAAGCTGTGTGCCTTTACGCATGTCGAATCCCCTTCCTGAGCTTCAATTTCTCTATCTGTAAGATGAAAATAATTCCAAAAGGCCCCCAGGGCAGTTGCGAGGCTTGATCAGCACCCCAATACAAACATCCATTGTTCTCCAGGTCTCAGAGGAGCAAAGGGGGTACAGCAAAGCTGAAGGGCTGCCGAACACCTTTCTGCAGAGGCCTCACTAAACCCTAAAACCAACAGCAATATTAGAGCAAAAGGAAACTTCAGAAACTGGCCAACCCACCTCCTTAATTTTAGGAAGTGAAAAGAGAGACCTGGAAAGGGAACAGAGCTGGCCCAGACACCTGCAGTGAGTCAGGAGGAAAGTCCTCCCTGGAAGGCAGGATTTCAAATCACACACACCTAAAGAGCCTGGCCAACAGCAGGAGGGGGTAGGGTGTCCTTAGAGGAAGGGAGGACGGCAGTAAGAACAGAACAAATGAAAGCAAACTGCAAGAGCCATTTCCTAGGGCTGCTTAATGCAGAGACAAAGCGTGCCGAGGCTTAGTCACACCAGAGCTGCAATAGACTGCTGGTCATAATCACCACCTCAAGTCATTAAAATGGGCAAGCCGGGACACCCTCTCTTAAAGAGGACAAGACTATACACATGACACATTTTGGAAAGTTTTCCATCCAACACCATTAAAACACAAGTTTTGTGCTTAAAGGGATAAACTTCTACAACCAGGAGATTTACTTAACTCCAGCAGCTCAGTGACAAATCATGTACCTTCTCAACGTACTGCTGCCTACTCAGCCTCTCAGGGCACAAGGAAATCAGTCAGTCTAGGCTTTCCCCAGATTGAGCAAGAAGCTATGTGAAACCACATGGGTTCCACAAATTTTACTCACATGTTCTTTCCAGTGGCTACCACTAACTGCAGCTGGTTCTCAGGCTTACCCAGAGCATGGCACTGCCTGCCCTGCTGCCCTCTCCCCTCCTCCACAAACATGGTAACTTTCACCTAATGCTGTTGACATTCATTTGGCTTCAAGAACTATACCACAGACTCCAGGGAGACCAAGTTGCCAAGTGTTTTCAATCCTGTCACCCTCAGTGGGCTGAGAAGTCAGCCATTTATTAAACCCCCTCTGGCTCTACAACACCCACCAGAGAAGGGTTAACTGAAGAGGGCCCCACTACAAATTAGATACAGGAAAACCTAGTTTCTCAAAGTGGGGATAGGCCCATGCAAGTAAAGATCACCCCTCCCAGTTCCCAAGAAGCTGGAGGAGATAAAGATGAACATCCACCTTAGGAGGCAGGTCCCTTTGAGGCTGTTTCAATGAACAGAGCCAGCTGGCCTGGTTCCCTCCTGGCTTACAATACAGGACAAGCACCAACACGCATGGCCCATCAATCAAGGTAAGACCGACTGGCCCAGACACTTTCCCTTCAGTAACTTGCTTGGCCTGTACCAGTTGGGCCCACATCAACAGTCTCTCAGGCCTCAGGCTGGGGAGGTGAAAGCAATGGAAGCCCTGTACCGGGAAAGAGCAACCAAGCTTATAAATTGCCTGGCTCAGTCCTAGAATCCCACCTCTAGAATCATCCATAAGTTTCTTTTAAAATAATTTGTAAGAACTTAAGAAGCCCAGGAGGCTAGGCAAAGCTGAGCTAGTAGAAGCTCTAGCCCTACTGATAATCATTCTGGGCTGGCAGATATAACACACTTTTCTCTAAAAGAGTCTGACCCACATATTGGAGGGGGCTTCAAAAGGGCACTGGGTGAAACTGGGCTCGCAGGGTCCTGCTTGCTAAGGTCTATGTAAAAGTCCACAGAGAAGGCTAAAGTAAAACCTCCCAGTGCTCCCAATTCCCATAAAAATCTTAGCTCCACATGCCCCAACTCTCAGGAGAAAATGCCCAGGAAGATGCCTGACCCATCCAGGACTCATTCCTCTCCTGTCTGTTGGATTCCTCCACACTCATCCGTCCAGATATCTTCTATCCTCCTCTCCTTCTGCCTTTAAGAGAGCTTCGGAAGTCCGTGTGTGCCACATGGCCCACTCTGGGGCCTCTGTTTAATCCCAGCTCTGCCACTTGCTAGCTGGGCTGCCAACCCTGTCATCCTCAATGTCCTCACCTGTAAGCGGAAGACACACTCACCGCATGGCTGTTATGAGCATGAATGAACTCACTCACGAGCCTGCTCAATGGGATTGGCTTAACGTACTCAGTGAATGGCAGTTGTCACTGTGTCTGCTAAAAGTTGGCAGGGTCCTCTGAAAGCCAGCTTTAAAAAATGCTCAAGGCCCAAGTACCAAGGCCTTGGCCACACTAGAAAGCTTTAGCCCTTACCGTGGTCAAATGGGCAGGGATGGAGCTGGGTGAGTGAGGCAGCAACCAGATGCTGACTGGCTGACAGCAGTGCAAATCAACAAGATGCTGACTCCCTGGGAAATAGGGCAGACACAGGCCCACATGTCCAATCACTACCTGCCCAGGTTACCTTCTCTCAGAAATCAGCCCCCATCACAACCACCACTGTGAATTCTCAAAAACGTTCTCCAAACCCAACACTCTCAGTAATGACCAATGAGGCCCTTGTCACTGACAGGTGTCTGAGCACCCCAGGGGCACAGCCCAACTGGCCACTCCAGGAACTTTTCTCTCTTTAAAGTGACAACTGGTCTGGATGGGCCTGTTTCATCATCTTTCTCAAGGTGCAGAGAGCTCTCACAGACAGCGGGTTAGAATGCATCAGCACAGAGGGGTGTCCTATGTCACCTATTGCCACCTCCTAAGTGCCCCTCCCCACCATTTTGCTCTCCCCTCAACCAAAGCTGAACTCAAAACTTTCTCCTGGACAGGACTGTGGACTTAGGGAGGGGACTGAACCTTCCATGTCTATGAGGTGAAATGTCAGTGAAATGTTCTCAGGCACATGGTACCAGCTACATGGCACACAGGCACAGACAAAAGTGGTTAGCTGCTCTATACAGAGTGCGACTCTCCTGAGCGAATGGAGGGATTGCTGGTTTTAACCTGTGCGGCAACTATCAACACTCAAGTCCCAGAGGTCAAGGCTTTGTGGGATGCAAGGCTGTGGACAGCTGTGGCACCACAGGGCACATGCAAAGGAGATGACATGGCAGAAACAACGAAAGAAGCAGGTGCTAAGTCTGCAGGTATTTGGGTGAGTCTTCCCAACTGAGGAAAAGCAAAACTCAAGCCTGCTGACAAGGTGCACAGGCGGACAAAACGACCCTCAATAACACAAGATACCTGGCTCCACTGGCAGTGGATGATCCTGGGGGCTGGTGCTGAGGTCCCAGGTGGGAGAGGCTGGAGCAGTAAAAGGGCTGGTTCCCCAAGGAGGGCAGCACCCCGCCCCAGGGGTTGGTGGTGTTCAGCCTGGGTGCAGACCTAGCTCCAGAGAGCGAGGGCTTATTGTATGGGGCAAAGGCCTGGTGGGCCCCAAAGATAGCAGCAGTCCTTTGGGGGGTCTGAGGGGCAGGGTATGCAGGGAGGCTGGTCATGGAGTGGCGGTAGCGAACTGACACGGGGCCAGTTCCGCCATTGTTGAGGCACTGGTGGCAAGAGCAGGCGAGGCCCATGTGGCCTGGCGGAGCGATGATGGTGGTCACTGGGTAAGGGGGCCCAGCTTGGCGCCGCACACTACGGCAATAGTTCGAAGCCTTATTGGTCTGTGTGTGGGTGGCATAGTTGACGACGTAGTTGTACCCCAAAGGTGCCAAGTCCACAAGCTGGTTGCCCCTGGCCACCTGCTGCTCCAGATAGTCACAAATGCTGGCTTCATAGGCTGTCCAGGAGCCATCGTCGTTCAGCCACTCCCAGACAATGCCCCGGCCCGGGGCTGAGAGCTGGGAAAACAGGTGCCTCCGCACAGCCCTCATGGTGCCTGTTTTGCAAGGAATATTACATATAAATGGTTAATCTGCTAGCACCCCAAACAAATGAAGTTTTATTTTTCCCCACAACCAAATTAAATTAATATGATCACGGTATATGTAGGGTCATGGTGCCATCTGACCTAAAGTCTGGCATTGGTTGTTCTTCCCAAATTTTGGGTGAAGGATAGAGATCACTCTTTAAACAAAAAAAAACAAAACCTGCGGCCCAAAAGGATCAAGTAGCAGCAGGGGATCCATCTCCTGGGCAGGAATGGGGGATGCTGAAAGTTTAGGTCTGAAGCTTTAAAAATGATTTTTAGCCATGGCCAGCACTGCTCATGGTTAGAGCATCAGCCTACACACCGAAGGGTATTGGGTTTGATTCTCGGTCAAGAGCATGTACCTGGGTTGCAGGTCAGGGTGTGTGGGAGGCAACCAACGGATGTGAGAACGTGGGTGTTTCTCTCTCTCTCTCTCTCCCATGTCCTCCCTTCCACTCTCTCTAAAAATCAATGGGGGAGCCAAAACCGGTTTGGCTCAATGGATAGAGCGTCGGCTTGGGGACTGAAGGGACCCGGGTTCAATTCCGGTCAAGGGCGTGTACCTTGGTTGCGGGTATATCCCCAGTGAAGGGTGTGCAAGAGGCAGCTGATCGATGACTCTCTCTCATAGATGTTTCTAACTCTCTACCTCTCTCCCTTCCTCTTTGTACAAAATCAATAAAATATATTTAAAAAAATAAAAATAAAAAATCAATGGGGGAGGGAGGAAATATCCTCTGGAGAGGATTTTAAAATTAATTAATTAATTAATTAATTAATTTCTAATGATGAAATCTATGCAGCTTCACTTAAAAACTAAAACAAAAAAATAAAGAAAATGAAATCATCCATTATCTAACCACCAAAAGAAAAGCACATCATTTATACTGCAATACATTTCTTCCCATCTAGACACATACATCCAGGTAGCTGAGAATCACACTGAAAAATGTTTCCTGCTATTTTTACATATTATGCCGTGTTTTGTGTGCCTCTAAACTTCGTGAAACTCATTATTGTTACATAATTCTCTTACATGGATGTACCATTTCCTTTGAGTTCTTAAGTAGCATATATTGGGTAACACCCTGTGCTTAGCTTAGCTTATATACTTAATAAAATCAAACCTGAAGATTATGGAGAAAAAGAAAAAGATAAATTTAGGCCATGCTTCCAAGCACTTGCCAAAAGATGATCACTGCAATTACCTTGCACCTGGTCTCTCGACTGCAGCAGCCCTTACGCCATCCACAGCAGCCAGAGGGATGCTCTTTACCCCAAATTAGATTACATCACTCCTCTGCCCTAATCCGTCCTTGGCTCCCTCTTTCAGAATAAAAGCAATCCCTCTGAGTGACAGAAAAGCACTGCAGACCTTGCCCCTCCCCTGCCCTTCCTTCAGGTCTATCTCTGTCCCCTGCCAATGCCACTGAAGCTCCAACTTCAAATCAACCTTTCCCAACCTCACTTCCACTCCGATTAACACTTACTGCTTTTATCTAACATAAAACATAATGCACATATTATTTCTTTTGTGTGCCACCTTTCTCAGTTTCCTGCAAACATCGTGAAGGCAGGGACTCTCACAGGCATCCAACCGATTAGAAGCCTTAGTCTCACTAGCCTGAGGATGCTGCTCCAGGGCTCAGAGCAGGGTTTCTTGAAACAAGTGATACTCTGGGTAATAACTGTTAGTCACAGCGCCAGTCCTGCACACTACGGGATGTTTAGCAGCATCCCTGGCTTCTACCCAACAGATGCCAGAAGTGCCCTGCCCCACAGTCATGACAATCAGAACTGTCTCCAGACATTACCAAATGTCCTGGGGGACAAAATCACCCCCAGCTGAGAACCACTGGCCTAGAGAAACAAGGCAAACTCTGGGAGGACGTTGTTGGCCCCATTCTCAGTAATACCAATCAAAACCTATAATAAAATCAAACACAAGCCGAAGCCCGTGTGGCTCAGTGGTAGAGTGTCGGTCTGCGGACTGAAAGATCCCAGGTTCGATTCTAGTCAAGTGCATGTACATTGGTTGTGGGCACATCACCGGAAAGGGGTGTGCAAGAGGCAGCTGGTCGATGTTTCTCTCTCATCGACGTTCCTAGCTCTCTCTCTCTCTCCTCCTTCCTCTCTGTAAAAAATCAATAAAAATATAAAATCAAACACAAGCCCTAGCCAGCTTGGCTCAGTGGACAGAGCATCAGCCAAGGGGACATGCCTGGATTGTGGGCTCGATCCCCAGTTGGGGTGTGCAGGAGGTAGCCTATCAGTGATTCTCTCTCATCATTGATGTTTCTATCTCTCTCTCCTTCTCCCTTCCTCTCTGAAATCAATCAAAATATATATATATATATATATATATATATATATATATATATATATATATTATATATTTTAAAAACACACAAAAACAAACACGAGTGCACAGGAGAGTGAGGAAACCTGCCCAGGTGCACTGGAGCCAGAACTAGCATGGCGCACCACCTCCTTGCTAGCTGCCTGACAACGAGACTATCAAATCTCTGCAGGTAGAAACAGGCATTTTTTGTTTGGGAAACGAGGAAAGGGGCTCTGAGGGCCTCTGCACTGTGCTCCCAAGGTGCCCTCTACTACTAGCAGGGACTCAAATAGCATTATCTCATCAGAATGTTGATGAGATGCCACAGAAACTTAACTCTTGTTTATATCAATTAGCCTGTGGTAAAACTGGTTTCGTTAGCGTCCATCATTTCACTTAAAGTCATAGAACCTACTAACGATGTTAAATAAAGACCTACTGTACATCGCACATTGTATGGTACCTGCTGTCACTCACAGTACCCACCTCCCAACTGTATGCATATCAGGGACAGGGCTAAGCTCTGAGAGTTAACCCTGTAACTTCAACATCTAGTGTGGCACCCGACCCAAAGCAGGTGCTTGGATACATACTATTATATATAGAAGCAGAACGTGTCTTACCAGTGTCCTGGCGGAACTGGGTCCAGCTGGGGAGGTCGATGATGTAAGGGGCCAGCGAGGGGTCAGCTTGGCCTAAGGGGATGCTATGGCCCATCCCATAGCGCTGGCCCTTCTGCTGGGCAAACTGCTGCTCGATGTAGTTACAGACAGTGGCACTGTAGGGGTGCCAGGTGCCCATCTCATCCTGCCACTCCCACACGACCACTGCCACAGGGCTGGTGTACACCTGAGACAAGGAAGAGCTTGGGGCCATGGCCATCTTCCCCAGGCTCTCTCTGCTTTCCCAAATGGCTTCAGACCACTCTGCGCTGGCGTCTCCGGCTCATTGCCAGTGTTTCCAGCAGACCTGTAAACAGGACAAACAAGCAGTTACCAATACACACAATGCCAGAGACAGCCTCAATGCAGAGAGAGAAAAAACATCTTTTCCACAGTCACTTTTCCCCCTAATTTCTTAAGGCATCTTGAATCAAGTACCCAACCCTGTCCTTTGCTCAGGCAGCCAGGAAGAATTCAGTCAATCTAGCAGCCTACCTACCTCTGCATTGTCAGGGAGATACAGTGAAGAGAATTTTAGGTGCTGATCATCAGCCCAGCTTCACCAACAATTTCTCTCTGACCCAGTACTAAATGTATCCTTTTATACTGTATGTGTTTTCATGAATCACTCCAAACCCCCAATGGGCTCAGGTTATCATGACCCCTTATACCTGTGTGAGGATGCTGTGGTTTCCAAAGCAGGTTGGTTGTTTTCCATGCTACAGATGGGAAAAGAAACTGTCTCAAAAGAAAAACCAGGGCTCTAGGACACCAGGAGCTCAATGGCCGAGCTGAGACGCACAGCATGGGTCCTAGCTCCACTGAGTCTGCAGGCTGCTCCAAGGAGGCATCATTAACCATGAAGGATGTCCTGGATAAACATTAAAATCTCCTGGCTGCTGAAGCCTGGTCTCTGCACTCCACTCCCTGTGCCCGGCCTCACTGACCAGTGGGTGAGGTCCAGAGAGTTTACACCCATCTTCTAAGACATTCTTTCCCAAGTCCCTCCAGCCCACCTTCTTCCCTTGTACACTCTATTCGTCCTTCGGGCCCAGCCTGCACTCAGGGAGTCTTTCCCAAGCCACCCAGCACATGAACTTCTTCACAGCACCGGCCAGGGTCCTGTGCCCATATACATGTATGGCTATGATGTTGTTCTGTGTCTTTCTATCTCCTTTCTCCCCACCAAAAGCAATGTGGTGAGTCTGTCCTGTCCACAGCCATATCACCAGCCCCAGCAAAGGCCTTGTCACACAGTGTTATATACATGTTAATTCAAAATACAGCTGAATGGAAGGGGATGATGGTGCTATGCACCTGCAGCTGTTTGAAGGAGAAAAATCGGTGAATGCACTATGGCGGTCCCTCCCCCCCATCCCCGAGTGTGTGAGGAACAGGACCAACATTTAGTAGCAAACGTGAAATGTGCTTGTGGCATTTAAGCCTAACAGACCAACAAGGTGCTTTTTCTTCTACTTTATGGACAGGAACCCAAAGCTCAAAGAGGTCAAGGTCTTATTGAGGGTCACACACATACTGCTAAGTGTCAGCTCTGACACCCATTTTCTTAGAGAAGAAAGATTAGCCTGAACTCTACTTTGGGCTCCACTTATAGGCCCCATTTAGAGACAGAAAAGGAGGAAGAGAGAGAGGAACCCGCATCTCAAGTCTGTTATAGTATGCTCATGCAGGCCTGATGCCAGCAGGGTTCCCAGTTATACCATCTACTCTGATTCCCATACAATTCACTTAAGTATAGACATTGAAATTTGTCCCCATTTTGCAGATGAGAAAACTGAGGCCCAGTCAGTTGCAGTGACTTGCTTATATGGTAGTAATAAGGTTGGGACCCTGGGCTTTTGCTGACGTCCCTAATATTGCACTACACCAGCAAGGTTTCAGTAACAAGGCCAAGACCACCACCCCACAAGGAAGGTAGATCTGGAGCAACACATGAAAAGCAATAGGCATGGGCTCTGGTGTCAACATGCTGCTGACCAACTCTATTCAGGTATCATCCTCAATTCTTCTAGCTTGCTTTATTTTTCTTTCATTTGGAAATGAAGATACCAACATCTATTCTAAGTGCTTTTCATGGGGATTAAAGCATAGATGTGTATAGAGGACGCAGCAAAGCACCAAGAACACAGCAGGTATCAGCAAATATTGGCCTCCCTCCCATTCCCTGCTCCCCTCAACCCCAGTACCTCCCCAACCCTCAAGTCTGGGTGAGGAGTGGCAGCCTGCGGCAGCACTGAGCCACAAAGCAGGAGAACACAGGTGATGAGTCAGACCTGCAATAACTGAGCACACCTGGGAGTGCCAAGGCTGCCACTGAGCTGCCAACTGCTCCAACGGAAGGACACATCCCGCACTGGAGCACTGGGCCTGGGATGCCCTTGGGATAGCAGGCTGGCTTATTAGCTCAGTGCCTGTAATTAGAAGTCTCTGGAACCACATCCAGTACAAATCCCAGGACCACTTTCAGAGGCAATTACTCCTAAATCCAGACTTCCCTGGCAACTCCTGGCAGGCATCATTCACCTCTCAGGCAGCAGAAGCCTCCTATAGAACAGCACACATATTAATAGTATGTCCACAGATTCCAGATGAACCAACTCGAAGGACTTTGCCAAACAGCCTGAGAAATACAGTTGAGAACTTCATCTAAATCTTTTCATAAAAGTGTTGTCTCCACAGACCGGAACCCACCACAGTCCAGGCCCTGTGTAGGTACTGGAGACCCTGTGTAGGAACTGGTACCAGAGATGAAACAGTCATGGCACACAGCCCTCTGTGCCCAGCTGCTGTCCCCACTCATTTCAAGGCCTCCACCTTATATCTAGTCATATTAAATTCTAGCAAATGCCAGAACATTCAGAGCCATTTCCACCTCCCAGGCATTGATCCTGCTGGTGCATGTGTCTAGACTTCTGTCCTCTTTCTACCTAAGAATCAAGCAAATTTGTCCATCTTTCTAACTCAGCCACAGCACCCTCCTCCTGAGCCCTCTGACCTCCACCTTCATCAGGGTCTTCACACACATTCCACTTATGCTTGGCCTCAGTGTCTATCTCCCACAGTGTCTATCTCCTCAGTGTCTATCAGAACAGGAACTCCAAGGCAGACCTAGCACTGACCCAACGCTGCGACTGCAGCTCTTTGATGTCCAATATCCCAGAGGGTCTGATACACCCTTTACTGCAGGGGCCAGGCAGTAAAGGCACTGACCAGAAATGCCCACGGGCGTTCAACTTGAGCACAGCAATTATGCGCATACAGCAGTCCTATCAATGCACCCATTCTGTACAACTACCTCAGCCATTGGGGAGCTAATTTCAAAAAACCCAATTTGTTTCAGCTCCTAATGACAGGGCCATTTAGTGTTCTTAATTATGAAAATTATTATTATTATTATTACTGGCCACGAAAGAAATCCTCAATCTAGAAGCAATCTAAACCCCTTAAAATATTGAAATTCCTAAATAAATTATGGTACATCCTAATGATGGACTATAAGTCTTGAAAAATGTTTTACAAAAAGCTTATGGACCTAAGATAATGCTCACAACAAATAAAAAATACAGGCTATATAAGTGGACACACTATGTTCTCAGGCAGCGGGTATGTCATTTATTGAGCACCTACTATGTGGCACACACTCTGCTTGGTGCTTTTGTCATCCAGTTCTCTTAACCCTCAATCACCCTTGAAAATAGAAATTATTTCCATTTTGCACACAAGGGAACTGAAGCCAAAAGAAATTAAGAATTTACCCAAGGTCAGGTGGCCAGTCTGCGACACCATAAAGCCCATTTTCTTTCTACCTTATATAAAACTATTTGTAAAGGCCAGAAGGAACCACTCTAAAATATTAATAGCAATGATGGAATTGTAGGATTTCTTTTACCTGTTCCTGCACTTGCAAATGTCTTACAGTGGGCATATTACTTTTTATGATCAAACAAAAAAACTTTTTTAATATCAACAGCTGTGGCCACAAAAAAAAACAAAAAAGAAAAAACCAGCTACCATTCTGCTTTCCCTTGTATTCTATTGTGGAATTTAGCTGCAAATCCCTGTCCACAGCACTGCAACCAATGAATACATAAAAAAATGGAACAAACTGATGTCTCTCTCTCTCTTCCCCTCTTCCTCTCTAGAATCAATCAATAAATAAAACATTTTTAATCCAGATTTCCAGCTTTTTGAAAACCAGAAAAGTTGGCAGCATTTGCAGGCCTGACCTAGATTCATTATTCATCCAGAAACTACTTGCTAGTACACACTCTCCAGGTTACCACAGTTACCATGACTCCCCTTGGCAGGCGTCAGCCAACTTTTCCTATAAAAGGTCAGAAACTACTTATTTTGTGCTTTTCAGAACAAAGGGTGTCTGTTGCAACTATGCAACCCTGGTATTGTAATGTAAAAACAGCCATAGACGATGTGTAAACTAACTGGAGTGGCTGTGTCCCAATAAAATTTTTTTACCTTTTTATTGAGTTTATTGGAGTGACACTGGTTTACAAAATTATACAGGTTTCAGGTACACGATTCCAATACAACTTTATTAACAAAAACAGGCAGTGGGCCGAATTTGACTCATGGGCCATGGTGTATCGACCTCTCCCCTACCATCTACCCAACATCTATCACTGTGTTCCACTATCGTATAAATGAGAAATACTTCTCTGAACCATTCTTTCTAAAATAGGAGAGTGCCTATGTCCCTGACTAGCTACCCCAAGGACATGCCCTTCCCTCTGCAAGCATCTTGGTCTCTGCCCAACATCTGATGATGAAACACAGCATCCAATAGCACAGCAGGCAACATGTTGTCAGCACCAATCCTAGAAACCCCAACTGCTTCCCACCAGGCATTAACACCTTTCCCTGTGTGAGGAAATCAGGTTCTCCCTCCCTCTCTACACTCCCCCTGGACCCTCTTATCTTTTTTTCTTCTTTTCCTCTTATCTTTTATAATGCCATGCACACAGATCACCCCAATCTTTTTTCAGATGAGCCCTCTGCTTCAGCCATCAGGAACTCGAGGGAGGACCCAGAAGAGGCCAGGCTGTTCCATGCCCTTCGATCCCGCTGAGAGAATGAATACCCTTCCTGTCCACCTACTCCTCTCTTAATTCCCAGCTTGAGACTCTACACTAGGGATGTCGAACTCAATCAGAGAAGGGGCCAAAATCTAAAATCCAGCCTAAATCGCGGGCCGAATGGTTTACTGAACAGTCAAAAACTGTCGTTGTGATGGAAACGCAGCGGAGTGCAGTGATGACAGCGCGGTGCAGG